GATGACCCTCTCACGGTGGTCGGGATCGTCGCATGCGACGCCCGGCCATTGGCAGAAGCGGACAGTATCGTTCCACGAGTTCATGATGCCGCGAGGGTCTTCGGTGATGGCTGCCCTGACGGCGAGCAGTGCGGCCCGATCGGTTTCGCTTCCCGAAGGTTGGTCTACGGTAGCAGAGTGACACAGGAAAAGAAGGGAGTGTAGCAAAAGGAGGAGAAGGATGCGGACGTACTGGGAAGTGAGCAGTACTCGTCGGAGCTCCATTGCGCCACCCTCAAAGTGATGAGGTACGAGGTCGAGTACCGGCAAAATATAGAGGCAGTTGCCGGTGGCACGGGTCGCTGCGCGTGGTAGAGACGACGGCAGCGAGGCGACTTGGGACTGGTCTTCCATGTCAACCGACTCTAAGATGTGGTGGCGCAGGGTGAGGTGGCGGCTCCTATCACGCATTTAGGTGTTGTGGAAAGGTTAATTGCGTGGTTTGAATGGATTGACTTGTGAAAGCAACACCGGTGCGCGGGGGACTACCAACGCACATACAGATTCACACTGGCTTTGCAGTTGGCGATCCCCTGTCGGCCATTATTAGACATGGTTTCTTCTCTTGTGTTAGCCACAATGGGGGATCTCACTCATTTAAAGATTGCATTAGTTTTTGGTTTCCCATACACTCGATGAATTATATATTAGAAGATTTATATGATACCAAGCTGGTGACGACTTGGTAGTCTCCGTGGATTGAACACCGGCCAGGTTTCTTCCAATTCCGTCTCAGTCAAGATTAAGGCACATCAATTTATGGATGAAAGTATTCACGATGGTCTTCGTGGAAGACGGGCCAGGTTTTTTCTCCAAAACCTTCTCAGTCAAGACCATTGCACATCAATTCATGGATGGAAGTGTCGATGGTGGACTCCGTGGAAGACGGCCATGTTTTTTCTCCAAAACCTTCTCAGTCAAAGACCATTGCACATCAATTTATGGATGGAAGTATTCATGGACTAATGGCAACATTGACTTTGATAACATGTAGTCATTTGATCGAGGTCTATATTTAATCGATAAAATAAAAAAAACTTTCTTCCGGAAATATATCCAGGGAAATTTTAGCAGAAAAGGTAGAACATAACGCAAAAATGTAAAACAGAGGACAGTGGTAACATGAAATAGGTGTTTCACGATAAATTGGTAAATTGGTAGAGAATTACTGTAATTCCATCGTTAAAAAAATAAATAAAAATTGGTTCCACAGCAGACCGAAATCATTATCTAAATCCCTTAAATATTTTTTTTGGTGATGCTTCTCTTCATAATGACTGCACGTTATATATATATATAGTAAAAGGGACGAGTGCCTGCAATTTCTCTCGAATGAACTACAAAAAATAACAACATTATCCAAGATTAGTAGGTGACCGAGAGCTAATGCCTTAACCACACAGGGTTCATGTGAAAGGAAAAAAAAAGAAGCTTTTTTAGTGTTTATGATACTAGAGTATTTTCACATCTTTTATACAACTAAATTGAATTAACTCATATTTTAATCGTCCGAGGAGTTGATTTGGAGCCAACGAGATTTTTTGAATGATTCAACTAGCATTTTTTGAATGGAGGATTATGTTTTGTGAACATACTTAGAAGGTTCTTTGTATAGTAGGCTTCGGATGTTGTTACCTTAGTAGTATGAATTGACTATCAAAATTGTGGTGCACGTTCTTTGGACTTAACTTCATGCGGTGTCGAATCCTAGGTATATAACGTTCAATTTATTCTACCACACGATACAAACCATGAAAGGTGAGATGTTGATCATGTGTCAACCACCTAGTGTCGAGAACCGATCACCTATCACCAAGGTGTTGACCATCTAATGTTAGAATGTCAATCACCTAATGATGAGGTGTTGATCTAGAATGTTGATCATATTATCACACCTTTATCACTATTAAACTGAAATATTTAAATCTAAATTAATATTAATATATATATCTATCATTTTTATAATTTAATTTAATTTTTTTTATAAATTTTTGATATGAAATTAATAATAATCTAAAATATTTAATCCTCAAACCCTAAACTCAAAATCCTAAACCCTAAAATATAAACATTAAATCCTGAACACTAAACTATGAACCATGAACCCTAAACCCTAAGTCCAAAATCATAAACTCTAAACCCTGAACCCTAAACTCTGAACACTAAATCTTGAACCCTGAACCTTGAATCACGAACCCTAAAT